ACAAAGCAACTATATTAAGAAATTTTTATTAAGTATAACAACAATAAATTACTATTACCGATAAGATATTTGAGGCATATTATGATGATTTTGGATTAAGTATTAAATGATACCTTAGATATGAAGGCCATCAAATTGCTCTCTTTAGTGAGAAACTACATATGGTAATGAGTTTATGTTATCGCTCAAGCTTTATAGTACTAATAACATTATCTATTCTCATGAGTTTATATTGTACTACAATCATAAGGCTCTTAAATATCTAAATGCTCAAAAAAAAACTTAGCTCACAAAATGTAAAATGGTTTCAATTTCTTCAAGACATATAATTGTTTTAAAAATAAGGATGCTACAAAATAAAGTTGTGGATGCTCTCAGTAGAATATGCGCTCATTTAAAAATTATGAGTATGAAGGCTTTTGAATTTTTATATCTTATCACCCTCCAATTAATGGTCACACTAAATTTGCAATAAAAGCATAACAGACTTGCATTAGTGTTTAGTGATCGATCATATCAATAATTGTGACTTGGTTCTTCCTACTAATGAGAATACTGATATAGGTTTTATTAATAGGACAATTACTTTGTATCCTTCTATAATTGTTATTGAATATGAACCAACATAGCCAATTAATCTCATTGACCCGCCTATAACATATAGGTCTAACGCATTCGCATTCCCATTCGGATAAATTTGGATGATTTACATCAAAAAAATTCAACAAAGCTTACTTCAGGCTATGATTAATATAAAGTAAGTTTTGATGCATATAGATGAATTATAAAATTTAATGAGGAAGGTTTGCTCCTATTTAAAAATTTAATATTTAGAAATATGGTCCCATACATTTGAGACAATAATAAATGCAAAGTTTATTAGATAGATCTTTCATTGAATTCAATAATCTCTTCAATATTCAATGTATAAAATTTAACATTATGTTGAGGCAAGCCTTTGATATATTACTCCCTTTATAAATAGTAGAAACATGTGGGCCAATACTCCTTTAACAACTCATATACCATCTCATCATTTAAGAACTCACCATGCAATCCTAATATTAAAGGATTAAAAAATCACGACATCTGATGAAGATATTCAAATATTCTTCTTTTATTTGTGAGGCTCTACTGAAGGATTCATGGTTTTCTTTCAATACGTTGTAATAGTTGAGCCCCCAATTGTTATATGTTTTTTTTATTATTATTTTCATCCTTTGAAGAAGAATCCTTCAAACATGGGGAGTGATGATATAAAGCAACATTGTTATCATCATCAATATTGTTATCATCATCATGTAACCTATGTTTATGTATTCAATATATATTTTGTATACTATGAACCATTATTTTATTGGGCTTTTATGTCATTTTTTGGGCATTTATATAATTATCCTACATTTTGGTTTTATATGCATTGGGATATTTTACTTCACGACCCATATAGAAATTGCATACATAAAAGTTGGTAGCAAGTTTGATAATAATAGTAGGTATGATAATGATAATAAGTTTGGCATTGATATTAAGTATGAAAATAATGATGGAAAGTAATGATAGATTTTAATTTGGATGTAAGTATGTGTTTTGTTGTCTCCCCCTCCCATTCATATAAATCCAATAACTCTATTAGTTTTAAGCACGTCATTTTTAGAATGACTTTTTTTCCTTTTTTTAAAGAAGTTCTTAACTCTTTTTAAGTTTCTCCTCCAATGAAAGTGACTATCTAAGTGTATAAGTATAGAACTCTTAAATAAGGATTTATAAGGAATATGATCTCCATGACAAATGACTATTTATAGAAATAGACTTTAATTTATTTGTACTTTGCTACTAATAATCTTAAATTTGCTACAAGTTAGATCGACCATAACTTTTGATTCCTTCTTTTGAATTTCTTATAATTAGACATCTGGTGTGGTTATCATATCAATAAATTAAACCATTTTATCTCCAACATCACATTATTGTTATTATATTTATGCTTACAATTAGTTGCATGTTTCATAATTCATTGATAATAATTTAAGAATTATAGTTGCAATTAAACTCATCTTACAATAATTAAATTTCTCCTACATCACATCTCCTCAACCTACTAAGCCTCAAATTATTTAAGTGTTCTTAGAAAAGACCTTAGATAGCATTCATATTTAGAAATCTTTAAGACCATACTAATTAAGGAGAACACAGAGACCTGAAAAACTATTAAGGCAACCCTAAACAATTAATCAAGTGATAGTCATCAAAATCAACATAGGCATTATGAAAGAGATAATGAGATTAATTATCCTCAATGTAATGGTGAATTTGAAACAATAAGTTTAGTTCGTGCCTACTTTTAATGGTAGGCATGAATCATTTTAAGTTATGCTTCTTGTGTTAGAATCTAATGAACTTCCAATTTATAAATTGAAGCATCATGAGCAACTTTTTTATGATAATTTATACATATGGAACACGAAGACCAGGATGAGAAAACCCTAAATAATTAATCAAATGATAGTCATCATAAACAACATAGGCATTATGAAAGAGAAAATGAGATTCATTATCCCCAATGCAATGGTGAATTTGAAACAATAAGTTTAGTCCATGCCTACTTTTGATGGTAGGCATGAATCTTTTTAATTTATGCTTCTTGTCTACGAATCTAATGAACTTTCAATTTATAAATTCAAGCATAATGAGCAATTTTTTAATGATAGTTTAAACATATGTACAAGCTAATACAATAGCATGCAACAAGATCTATTGTATATTCTTGTTGATATAAATTTGAATGTGAAACATAATCTGAATAAAAATTTGAATCTACATATAACACTAAAGCTAAAATATGAAAACTTAAAACATATGCAATTTGATCCTAAATTAGATTGTGATTCTCTTCCTTTTCAAAATCTTGCTATTAGTTGGATTATAGTGAATGCATTGCCCATGCATTTGACACTTTAATGAACCATTCTGTTGCAATTAATGATAGGCATGTGATTATCATGCTAGCTCATTTCAGTATTTTATAAGTTTTCTTAAAGTGATATGATTTATTTTATTTGTCTTTTACACTTAAATTACAATCGCCCCCTTTATTTATTTATTTATCAGTCGCAGCTTTATTATTACACTTTAATGAACTATTTTTTTGCACATAATGATAGACATGTGATTATCATGCTAGCACATTTTAGTATTTTATAAGTTTTCTTAAAGTTCCATGATTTATTTTATCTGTCTTTTAATGTATGCAATTTCTATATCGGTCATGAAATAAAAATATTCCAATGAAACACAATAGTTTGTGATTGATATTAAGTATGAAAAGAATGATGGAAAGTAAAAATAGATTTTAATTTGGATGTAAGTATGTGTATTGTTGCCTCCCCCTCCCATTCATATAAATCCAGACCTCTAGTACTTTTAAGCACTTCATTTTTAGAATGAATTTTTTTTAGTGAAGTTCTTTTACACTTTTTGAGCCTCTCCTCCCATGAAAAGGATAAGGATTTTTAAGTAAGGAATATGATCTCCATGACAAATGACTATTTATAGAAATAAACTTTAATATACTTGTACTTTGCTACTAATTAGCATAAATTTATTACAAGTTAGATCGATCATAACTTTTGATTCCTTCTTTTGAATTTCTACTAATTAGACATCTGGTGTAGTTAATATATCAGTAATTTATGCCACTTTATCTCTTACATCACATTCTTGTTATTGTATTTATGTTTTCAATTAGTTACATGTTTCATAATTCATTGATAAGAATTTAAGAATTATAGTTGCAATCAAATTTATCTTACAATAATTAAATTTTTCCCACATCACATCTCCTCAACCTACTAAGCCTCAAATTATTAGACCTTAGAAAACATTAATATTTAGAAATCTTTAAGACCATACTAATTAAGAAAAACACGAAGACCCGGATGAGAAAACCCTAAATATGATAGTCATCATAAACAACATAGGCATTATGAAAGAGAAAATGAGATTCATTATCCCCAATGCAATGGTGAATTTGAAACAATAAGTTTAGTCCATGCCTACTTTTGATGGTAGGCATGAATCTTTTTAATTTATGCTTCTTGTCTACGAATCTAATGAACTTTCAATTTATAAATTCAAGCATAATGAGCAATTTTTTAATGATAGTTTAAACATATGTACAAGCTAATACAATAGCATGCAACAAGATCTATTGTATATTCTTGTTGATATAAATTTGAATGTGAAACATAATCTGAATAAAAATTTGAATCTACATATAACACTAAAGCTAAAATATGAAAACTTAAAACATATGCAATTTGATCCTAAATTAGATTGTGATTCTCTTCCTTTTCAAAATCTTGCTATTAGTTGGATTATAGTGAATGCATTGCCCATGCATTTGACACTTTAATGAACCATTCTGTTGCAATTAATGATAGGCATGTGATTATCATGCTAGCTCATTTCAGTATTTTATAAGTTTTCTTAAAGTGATATGATTTATTTTATTTGTCTTTTACACTTAAATTACAATCGCCCCCTTTATTTATTTATTTATCAGTCGCAGCTTTATTATTAACGTTGTCATTGGCGGGTTTCAAGCTCTAATCACCCCCTTTATTTATTTATTTATCAGTCGCATCTTTATTATTAACGTTGTCATTGACTGGTTTCAAGCTCTAGATTCAAATAATGGAGAGTTGCGTTAAATAGTCGGCGGGCAGTGTAAAATTTTTGACGAAAAATTATGACATGGATTATTTAAATTATTTCGTATCAATAGGATACAATGGAGGAAAAGTATTCATGCAGCCAACAACACGTGATGGGATAAACACTTGTTGTTGTTGTCGTCGTCGTAGTCTTATTATTATATTTTCTTTTTATTCATAACTTAAATGGTAATCTCTGTTTGATAAAAACAAATTGAAACGGTTTGCTAATCTTAAAGTGAAACACTGGAACAGCAAATAATCCTGAATTATTATGTGGACCAATTACCAAAAAAACAAAGATGTTTTTTCATTAACAAGATGGTTTATCACATAAAAATGCTGTGTGACATGTATCATAATAATTCCTGTAGCAAAACTGAAAGCAACAACATTCAAGCACATCAAGTTCCAAGCCATTCCCTCTTACTCTGATCATACCTCAGGGAAGAGCAGCTCCCACTTCTAAATTCTTTTGCTGTTATCTTATTTATCAACTCCCTCAACCTCTCAGAGCCTGGTCCAGATTGAAAAAATGAATCATTCCCCCTTGATAAGCAAGGATCCTCTCCACCATCTGCATTTCCAATGCACCAAGCACCAGGAGTGAAATGGCCTTCAGTCCGTCCGAGAAGCTCGCGATCAATCTTGTCGAGGACCGGGTCGTCCTTGGGGAATTTTCGAGCGAAGGGAGCACCGCTCT